TATACTTTCATATGCATTTAGTAAAAAGCTGTAATTTTGACATTACAAACAGACACTTCAATTTTATTTATTTGTATAGATTTGAACTTAAGGCGCAGGTTGAGCAAAATGTCGCGCTAGTCGTTATTTGTGTGGTTTTTAGGAGCTATCTACTTTTTATTTAAAAGATATATCAACAAATAAAAAACACATTATATTTCTACATAATCTTGATTCCATAAAAGCTATATCCAATTTTTTTTTAAACGAATAAATATTAATATAATCTCCTTACAACGAAACCACATAAATGTGAAATTATTATTGATAACATGCATCTCCTCGTAAATTAAGTATTATTTTATTTTGCGATTTACACCAATGGATAGGCAATTTATTAATGAACATTTCTATAGTAAAATTTTTTTCAAAAGACCAAAATTTGATTTTATTAAGAAATTATTTTAAAATCTGGGCGTATTCACTGCTCACGGGCTTGCTGGAGTCAGTGAGCCCTGAGCTCTTCGACGTGGAACCCGTGTCGTTAGAGCGTCTGCCAGCGCCGTGTGCGCTCACGTCATCTTATCAGTCGATAACATTATAATATTATTACTTATTAGGTTATTTATAGGTAGTATTATTTGTTTGTTTTGGGTATAATTTTTCGTATTAGTTATACATATATTTGTTGTGTTTTTTACTGCGCGATGAAGCTTTTTGCGTGTATTTTCTTTGAAGTAAATGCAAATAAAAAAATGAAGCACCATTAGCATGTAAGGTTCGAATCCATAATTAAAATTTCGACAAATATTATAATTTACACTATAAAAGGCTAATTCAATATTATCACCCAACCACAATATTTTATTAAGTATAGTTCTGCCTCGTTGGTCTAGTGGTTGTAGTAGTGCGACTGCAGATCATGAGGTCCCGGGTTCGAATCCTGGGTCGGGCCAAAAAGTCAGTTATGAGTTTTTCATTTATGTACTAAGTTATAATTAGTATTACTAAGTTATAGTTTTTTGCCAAAATATAGTATATTATTTATTGCTTGTTTTTTCTTCTTTTTCAAAAAATAATTGAGTAAATAAGGTGTTCTATACTTATAATTCGGTAAAAAGTATCTAAGTAGGTACTAATATACCTACTTTTTACTATTAACTAAAAAATTTTAAAACTAAATTTAACTAAAAAGACTAAACTGACCATTTATTTTTTAACTCAAAACAGGACATGGGTTTATTTATACTCTAAAAACTATAACTTTATACAATTAGTGTTCACTGTAAAATTATATTCGGTATAGATGGTAATTATTAAATGCAACATATTTTTTTTAATTATTAATTACATTTGTCAGTGGATTAAATTTGCTTTAATAAAGTTGGTGATGATTTTAAATAAAAATAAAATTCTGCTCAAGTTTTTTTATTGTTATCTTTGTTAACAACATCGCCTTTAGAACTCTGGAACCGTAAGTGTTTCTTTCAAACGTCCACAATTTATTCAAAATAAAAAAATACTCTTTCTATCGGAGCATTCGTACCAGGTAGACATAAAATATATTCGATTAAAAAAAATTATGTTGAAGATTGTTGACTTTGAATACTTCCATTCAACGAGTTACGGGACAATTTTGTGTCCCGGAGCTTTGTTTGGGGACAATGGGACAGGTGACCGAGAAAAGGGACAGTCCCGTTCAAAACGGGACGTATGGTCACTTTAGCTATAACCCGGCGACGGCTCCGTGACGTAGTGGCTTAGCAATCAGTTGTTGCGCTGGGGGCCGCGGGTTCGAATCTCGCACGGAACAAATATTTGTATGGCCTACAAATAATTGTTCCGCGACACAGGAGAAAATCCTAGTGTGGGGGTAACGTTTTTTTACAATTGAAATTGAAAGATTGAACCCTTATACTTCTTGTTGATTTTTGTATTAGTAGGTAAGTATATTACTTTTCAATACGTGACACGTAAAATTAACAATAATCAAAAACACATCTACGAAACATCCTATTTATTTATTTATTCTTTATTGCACCAAATATTTGTACAAAAGGCGAGCTATCTATTTATTTACCTATAGTGAATAGGTATCTTTTAAACTCACAATTTTCAATGCTTCATTTTTAATATATAATTAATTATAAAATTTCATAATTAGATAATATATGAAAATACATAATTCTAATATAATGCAACTAATATACCGAATAAAAAAATTAAAATACATTTATCGTTGTACGCTGTGTGTATTTCCATAAATTAGTTCATTGATGTTGAAAAAATAATACTACGTTCGTACCTATAATAGGTGGTGGCGTCGTACATATTTCAAATAAGCAATATATTGAGGCGAGCGGCGTGCCGCCGGCAAAATGCTCAAGGTCGTTCGCATGGAGTAGCCCCTTAAGTTTAAAATTTGGCTACTCTTTGAAAAATAGCCCTGTAACCCTGTATATTCGAATGTGTTACGTGCAACTTAAAACTGTGTTACTGCATTCAAAAAAAATATAAAATTATATTTTATTATTTTTATGTTTAATATAAATTAAACATTTCACTCCAGTTTAAGCTTGTTGTTTATGTAATTAGTTAACATATTTTCAATACGTTGTAAAAGCTCAAGGGAAAGAAGTTAGCACGGTGAATTTCATAATGGTCGAGCAAGCTGAAAATTCGTGTCTAAGTGTTTGCTGTGGGTCGCAAGTTCGCATCCCACACGAAATAAGTGTTTGAATGGAAAACAAATAAACGTAGCAAGCTAACAGCATAGCAAAGTGGCGAAGCAATCAGCTTTGTAGCGGTTTCTAACGGTTGCCGTTGAGAAATCAGTTTCAAAATAGGAGGTTCAGATGCCTGGGTGATCAGTAATCGATTGCTGAAAACAGAATTTGAAAATTTGAAACCGTTCTCGAGATAATCGTGGGACAGACGGACAGACATCGTGAAATCAATAAGTGACTTCGCAAGCTTCGCCACTTAATAATTGTTCAGAGTCGGGATGTGTCTCGTTGTGCAATATATGTATGTAAAACGCCTCGACGATGGAGAGGAAAAGCCTACTACAACATTTTTTTTAAACTTCTATTCGATCCGCTCCGGCACATTAAATTTTTAAATGCAACTTGAAGTGCTGTAGTGAAAAGAACTAAATATTGCATGAGATGATATGAGAAGTAAAAAAAAAAACGAGGACAAAAATTAATTTTAAAAATTTATTAAATTGTAGCAGAACTGAGGATATGAATATGGAGATAAGCCTCTTAGAAATGAAAACTAGAATGTTTTTGCAACAATTTGTATTAAATACGTCCATTTTTAGATTCGTCATAATATATTTACAAAATACGTTTTGTTTTGTTTATAGATTTGTAGTTATTATGAGTTTCATTTTACGACTTCACACAATCCAAAGATGCGAAGAACCCCAGACCATTCGTTGACCCTCCCAATCTGGGCTATGCTGCGTAGTGTTCAGATAACTTAGTGTCCAGTGCTTGCGTACGTCATGGCACGTACGTTCGTGTGCGTGAGCTAAAAGTTTATATCACGTAATTTATTCGATCGGATAACACAGTCTTGTGTGTACTTCTGGCCTGTTACGAGCTCCTGGTTTAAATGTAACGAATTTAAGAATCTAGTTGTATATTTTTGATTTACAATGGCGTCGAGTGTTTGTGAGACAGACGTCATAAACTTTGAAGATGATATGGGGTATTCAATTTGTTATAATGTTTTTAGCAATTGTTACAATGTATTTATTGGTACATATAATTGCATGATTTATTTGTTTATGTTAAATTTAAATGCTTTAGTGTTGATGTGACGTTAGTATTATTAACAGTTTTGAATTTAAAAATGGTTGATGAATTTAAAATTTTAACAAATGAACCAATTTAGTTATTATTTTTTATAAGATAAGAGTGACAAGCGAGCACACAGTCCACCTGATGGTAAGTTGTTGCTGTGGCCCATAGACATTTATATCATAATACTACTAAACAAAATACAGATGCGTTGTTAACCGTGGGGACAAAATGGAAAGCCTCTTTTCCAGTAAAATGTCTCAGGTTTACTCCCTATACGAAACACAGCAGCATCAAGCTGCTATTTTAAGCTGTTATTCTGTGAGAGCATGGTCCTTCCCTGGTCGAGCCGACACATTCGATGTAAAAATTGTTTTTTAATACTTACTTTCATCTTATTAACATTATTAAATTATTGATTTATTATGGTCTACAATGATGTGCCTTTGTCCATAATCTTAAAGATCCTAAGTGCGAAACGACGTTATGTTCCCCTTTTTACTTTTACTTAAGTTGATGTGAGTTCATCTATTGCATCCCCTTTTTCTACCGACTTCAAAGAGGAGACGGTACTCAATTCTACTGTATGTTTTTTTTTCTTTTTTTATGTGTAATAACTTTTTTCTGGGTGAACTGATTTCGATGATTCTTTTTTAATTTGAAAGCTGGTGCTTCACATGTGGTCCCATATAAATTTGACCTATAGTTTTTGAGTAATTCTTAATAATTTATATTGAATTCGGTTGTACAAAATTTTTAATTTTTAATTATTTGAAACAAATGATTAGGGTTGATCAGAGATATAGCTTTTTAGTTAATAGTAGATGTGTTTTGATAAGTGTTTATGAAAGTATGTATGTTATTATCTTAATTTATAATATTTACATTATATTCTGTATTACTAACCGAATTTAAAAATGTATAATGAAAATGTATGACACCTATTGAGAATAAAACTGATTTTTTCACATAGTAGCTAAACTTAGTGTAATAAAACTAGTTTTTATGAATTTTATTGCGCATATTAACCTTTTCTATATTTCCTACGTTTCGAGTACTTAAGCACGTAAAGCACCGTGGCAATGGGTGCTGAAGTTGTGCTAAAACATAAGAAATTATTAGCTAAACTTAGTATTCGTTAAGCATATATTTTAAATTTACACCCATTTTAAAACGCATAAAATTTAATAAACTTGGTTTTTTAATTTCTAGGCAAGTGCTCGAAGGCGTTCGCTACATACACAGTAAGAACATAGTCCACCGCGATCTAAAACCCGAGAATATTCTGTTGGACGATCAGCTCAATGTAAAGATCACGGACTTTGGTTTTGCCAAGGTGCTGAAGGACGGAGAAAAACTTTTCGGTGAGTAGATATTATTCTGTGACTATTTGGCACAGCTTATCACACAAAAACTTTAAGTCAGATACGGGAATGTGAGAATAAGTTTGCATCTCTGTGCTTACGCTTTTTAACAGTGTAATATGATATTTCCTGTGTATGCATATATATCTCGGTGCCGATACGACAATAATTTTAGGGTTCTCTGTGTGATAAAATCCTCAAAGAAGATATTCGCTGAAGAACAAAAGTAACCGAAATAACTACACAACTAAAGTGGCAGTTGGCCGGCCATATACGCGGTAGAGCCACGCTACAGCTATATTACGAGGGTGACACTGAAAGTTCCCAGAAAATCAAGAACTGAACAAACTATCAAGTTATTAGTTTTATTATATATTTTCAAAATAGTATCCATTTACATCAATACATCGCTGCATCCGATGGAACCACTGAGAAAAGCACTTTGCCCACTCGTCCTTAGGGGTCTCTTCGACGGCATTTTGAAACGCTGCCACTGCTTCCTCGGCGTCCATAAAACTTTTTCCTCGAAGTTTTTATTTTATTTTCGGAAATAAATAAAAATCGCAAGGTGTGATGGTCGGGGCTATAGGGCAGGTGACCCAGAAATTCCACGTCTGACGTCGCCAAGTAGTCGATTGTTTTGGCGGTGTGCGACGAGGCGTTGTCGTGGTGAAGGAGGATCCTACTGCGAGGTCGTTTCTCCCGAACTTTTACCATGACAAGTAGCAAACAATTGTTAGTGTACCACTCTGCAGTAACTGTTTTTCGATCCTCTAAAATAATTGTAGCGTAATGACCTGTCCTTCCGAAGAACCAGGCCACAATCTTTTTTCCCACGCTTCGACCTCTTTTCACTTTAGTTGGCAACTCCTCGGAAGGAAACACCCAGTCAGCAGACTGTCTCTTAGTTTCAGGATCATAACACCAAATCCAGCTTTCGTCACCCGTAAGTACGTCGAACCACAGCATTTGAGTAACCTACGTATCCACTGTATCCACTGGGCACAAAGCTTCCTGACCGCTAAAAGTTCATGGCGGATTTTGTGCACTTGACTCATACCGATGTATAAGCTTGTCCAAACCTGCTGATAAGTCACTCTTTTGTGAGTCTTTATCATACGCCGCACTGATGTTACCTTCAGTCGTCGCCGTAGAAGGCCGTCCCTCACGTAGATCATCGGTGAGATTAGTGCGACCACGTTTAAACTCATTAATTCAGTTGTAGACAGTGACACGAGATGTGGCTTTATCGTGAAAGGCCAATCGAAGTCTATCATAACTTTCTAGTTGACTTAAATGACATCGAAATTCATAAAATTCATTGTACGAAAATTTTCTCGTGTTAAATTCATGCTGGCGTGACACAGACAATTTTCAATTTGCCACCAAAACGTAAACAAATGACAAATTAATAAAATACATTATATAGTGCCACCAACTTATCTGTTCAGTTGACAGAGTCGCTAGTGGAGCGCTTACTATTGCCATTTAAGAAATTCACCCAGGAAATAGGTGACTACATATTCATTACACATAATATAAAATAAAACAAATTTTTTGTATTTAATATATATATTATTTATATTTTATAAAAATAACTGTGGTCGTGATCTCGTAGTTCAAGCGTCCGAACTCCAGGAATTTCTGTTTCGAAAGATGTACCCGCGTTAGCTACTGGTTCCAATAACTCATTTTCTGAGTCACTGGAGTCGCTTTCGCTATCGCTCAGACACTATATTAAAGGGTTCATCTAAATACGTGTATTTTAGTCTGTATTCATTTTCAATTTTTTTCACATGATTACAAATGTTTTTCCACTACACCACGTGTAATTTTATGGAATGCATTTTCAATTAATTGGGGCATTAGAACATTAGATTTTCCAACAGTTTTACAGTAAATTGAGATAATTTTTTCACTATGTTTCACAAGTATATTATTTGGTGATTTTAATTTTCCATATCTGGCAATATAAACCTGTCGCGGAAGCAACGCGTTCATACAGCTTTTCAAATGGTATAGTTGGGGCTTGTACACGTTTCTCTTCTTTCATAAAAGATAAAACTTTCAGGATCATCTGTCGCGCATCACTTTTAAGAGCTTTAGGCATTTTATTTGCACTTTTTAAAACACTCACCTGATAGCTCGGAATAAATAATAACTGACAGCGAAATGTCATTTTCAAAATGGCGGCCTTAGTTCCAATTTTGTCCACCTGAACAGATAAGTTGGTGGCACTATACAATAATATTGGCAAAGAGGTCCATTTTCAAAATTTGAACTTATTTTTTTATTATATCGTTTACAAGTGGCCAGTTTTAAAAACTTTCAGTGTCGCCCTCGTAATTGTAGCACGAATGGGTCGACTCGACCGGGGAAAGACCACGCTCTCAAAGAATACCAGCGTAAAATAGCTTAAGGCGCAGGTTGAGCAAAATGTCGCGCTAGTCGTTATTTGTGCGATTTTTAGGAGCTATCTACTTTTTATTTAAAAGATATATCAACAAATAAAAAACACATTATATTTCTACATAATCTTGATTCCATAAAAGCTATATCCAATTTTTTTTTAAAGGAATAAATATTAATATAATCTCCTTACAACGAAACCACATAAATGTGAAATTATTATTGATAACATGAATCTCCTCCTAAAGTAAGTATTATTTTATTTTGCGATTTACACCAATGGATAGGCAATTTATTAATGAACATTTCTATAGTAAAATTTTTTTCAAAAGTCCAAAATTTGATTTTATTAAGAAATTATTTTAAAATCTGGGCATATTCACTGCTCACGGGCTTGCTTAGTCAGTGAGCCCTCATGCCCTGGTAACTTAAAACATTTTTTCTTAATTATGATAAGCGCCATCTATCCCGCAAACTTGGAACTTTTTATTGCAGTGTTACCACACTTTTTTACTTGGACTATTTAGTACTTTATAATAATTAATGATTTTGCTATTTTGCTGTTATTAGTCCAGGTACACAAAAATAAATGATTTAACAACTTAGTATAATTTATTTTAAAATTATTTTATAATTTTTTGTACTACTAGTGATAGTATAATTTATATAGTATTTATTACAGTTACGATCTTAAAATCTTTAGAGTAGTTTACCGACACCAAATGTTAGCAACACTGAAACTAAACGTCACTACGTCACAAGAAATTTTCCACTGGTGTGTTTGCATACTCGTGCGCACATTTCTTGTAATTTTTGGTGTTTTTTGTGTTACTACGTTGAGTCGAGCTTCAGTTCCTCCGTATATTCCAGAAATACCGAAATTCCAGCATAGACTGTACTTTGTGAAAGTGTTTTGGACATACATGTTGATAGGCCCTCCGTAGGGAGTTTGGACCATATATCTCAGTGTAGTGTTATTTTACATTTTACACAATGCCTCGAAATATCTGCTGTGTTCCTGGGTGCCAAGTAGTAGCAGAAGATGGTGAGTAAAGTGTATTTTTATATTCTGAACTTTCATAACCTCAATAGTCTTTTAAACAAATATGTGTATTCTACGCTGGCTTATATTCCGCGTGCTTAATACACCATATTGTCGGCCTAATATTTATATTAAACTGGTTAATCTGTTTTTAACAATTAAAAAAAAATTTATACGTGATAGTCATGTTGCAGCCATATTTCTGGTATAGTTTTTTTTTTTATAATAGAGGGGGCAAACGAGCATGCGGCTCACCTGATGGTAAGTGACTACCGCCGCCCATGAACAACCGCAACACCAGAGGAATTGCAGATGCGTTGCCGGCCTTTTAAAAAGGAGTAGGCTCTTTTCTTGAAGGTCCCTTAGTTGTATCGGTCCGGAAAAATCGCTGGTGGTAAACTATTCCACAAGGAAGTTGTGCGAGGAAGAAAACATTTTCTAAATCGCACAGTGGTGGACCGCCAATCATCCAGATGGTGTAGTTGGTATTGGGAGTTCTGCCGCGATGTGCGTTCGTGAAATTTGGCGGCTGGGATGTAACACGAATGGGTCGGCTCGACCAGGGAAGGACCACGCTCTCACAGAATACCATCGTAAAATAGCAGCTTAATGCTGCTGTGTTTCGTATGATGAGTGAAGAGAACCGGAGACCCTTTTTACTGCAAACGAGGCATTCCATCTTAGTCATCAGAGGTGATAACACATCTGCATTTTGATTCATAATCGAGGATAAATGTAGATGTCTATGGGCCACAGCAACCACTTACCATCAGGTGGACTGTGTTCTCGTTTGTCACCCTTAACCTATAAAAAAAGTAGTAAAAAACGAAATTTCTATTTATTCAGTAAGTCAAAATTTCTAAAAATGCTACCTGTAGGTTCTTATTCTAGAATGACTCTCAAACACAGCTTTACTTGAATATGATTTGAGTCTATCATTTCATACAAATAAGTCACTAACATGTGCTGAAGTGGAGATTGCCGCTGAGTGTCGTTCTAAAATACGGGCCCTAGTCTGTCGGCTCAGTTAACTCATAGTAAACCTCAGAACAAGGACTAAAACATGGTAAACTGGTAAACAATCTTGACGTCTTTTTTCTCAATTTGCATTTAAAAGTTGAGTTTCTTGTATGTTTTTCTCCATCAGAATCTACATTTTCGAACATGCAGCTAAAGTCTCGACTTTCAAAAGTGCCTATTGATATGTTCTACATAAATAAATATGATTTGACTTAGATTGAAAAAATCTCCAAACTTACTAATTAATCTAAGACAACCCACTGACCTAACTATTACATAGAGTTCACAAGAAGGTTTATATATATTTCATTTGTAAGTTCTTAGATTTTTGAAATGCAAGGTGGAGTGAAAAGACATAATTATATTATTAAGATTGTTTATCTTTAGTAAATAACCTAGACCAACAGAGTGTAGGATTTCTTCTTTAAATTCTGCACAGTAATGAAAATTAATAATTTAGTTGATTGTCCCTATGGTACAAAACATCATCCTTGATAACAGATGATACATATGTAATTATAATAAAATC